TTATTTTATATATACTGTAGTTATTCATATATTCATTTATATATTTATTTATATATTTATTTGTATATATATGTTTTTTAAATATATAGATTTTGTTATATGCACAATCCATATTGTGACATACCAGGGAGCCGCCACAAATCTGTAACGTCTGTCTGCCACCCTTACAAAATCCACGTCTTTTGCAAGGCTGGGCATGCTGCCAGTTCCAGCTATAACAAATATTGGAAAGTGATTCCTTTTTATTATACGTTACCTGGTACTTTACAGTACCAATAAGAGTAGGTTGGATTTTATCCACTTGCACTGCATCCATCTTTTCAATATTTGTTTGATTAATGTAAGTCCTCTTACCCTTCTGCAACAGAATATCATCTGTGTCCCTCTCGTGCCTACTCATCACAACACAACAATTATAATTAATTACAATAAGATACAAGGATTGTGTAGCAGTCGAGGTCAAAACAGAATTTTACCACTGTGCAACAAATTAGTCCTACTCATAATTATCACCATAGTCAAAATGAAGTTCCAATGCCTTCTGCATGATGTTTTTATCAGAAACTTTTAAGAACACTTGGTCCATGGCATGAACACCAAGCAGTATTTTACAAAATTAGTACAGTAAGCTAATGATTTTAATGGCACTGCTGCACACGCCTTTACCGGTCATAACGTATTAATTTCAACAATTTTCAGGCATTTTCTTGACATGAAATTATATTGTGGTCAAAAACTGGGGGTACCATCCATCATAAAATGTGGGAGGGAGAACATGCTTCCTCCCCACTCCATGGCCAATGATTTCCGCCCATGCAAGCCACCATTGCAAGTTTTCGGTCAGATGCATACTAGTGTTTGAAAGTGCTGAATGCTATAAGTAAGTCACCAGGCATATTATTATCCCTAATTAATATTATTAGTAATAAAAATAATAATACTGTAAGCGTAATACAGTAATATAGATTACATATTTAGCACTATAATAAGATTTAGGTTGTTACTACTTTGTAGGCGTATAGGAGATCAAAGCATCTGATAATTAATAAAACAAAAATATTTTAAATATTTATAAATATATAAATATATATAAATATTATATAATGAATATACAAATAAATATATATACAGCATGAATAAATATACAAATAAATATACAAACAAATAAATATATAAACAAATAAATACATAAACAAATAAATATATAAATACATAAATATATATAAATAAATATAGAAATAAATATATAAATGAACATATAAATAATTACAGTATATATAAAATAATATACAGTATATATAAATGCGCCTTGAGCAACTTTGGTGGAGATGTGCGCTTTATAAATCTTTATTAATATTATTATTAAATAAATATATAAATAAATATATATATACAAATAAATATATATAAATATGTAAAAAAATATATGAACATAATAATATATATAAATATATATATAAATAAATATACAAATAAATATACATAAACATATAATTATATAAATAAATATATAAAAATATAGTATATATAAAATAATGATACAGTATATATAAATGCGCCTTGAGCACCTTTGGTGGAGATGTACGCTTTATAAATCTTTATTATTATTATTAAATAAATATATAAATAAATATATAAATATATATACAAATAAATTTATAAAAATAAATATATTATATATATATAAATATGTAAAAAAATGTATGAACATAATAATATATATAAATATATATAGATATATAAATAAATATACAAACAATACATAAAAAATTTAAATAATCATAAATAAATATATAAACATAAATATATATAAATGCATATACAAATAAATATATAAATATATATATAAATAAATATACAAATAAATATACAAACAAATATATAAATAAATATATAAATAAATATGTAAATAATTAGAGTATATATAAAATAATAATACAGTATATATATAATTAAATAAATATATAAATAAATATACAAATAAGTATATGAAATAAATATATAATAAATATATAAATATATATAAATGAATACACAAATGTATATATATATATATAAATATGCAAATAAAATTTAAAATATATAAATATATAAATAAATACAGAATATATAAATATATATATATATATAAATAAATATACAAATAAAAAACAGTATATGGGTCATTCCGTGCCAACTCAACAAATGGGATGGCTGGGTACCGTCTCAGATTTTCTTGAAACTCGGATATAATGTGCACCAACATGTCTGACGAACAAACCCAAAATTTGACTTGCCAATTCCAAGTCGTTTAGAAGTTACGGCCATTTGAAATTTTAGGGTCATACCCCTTTTTAGCTATCAATTATGACATATTTGTAAAGTTGCATTTTCAATTAGCCATATCTTCAAATAGAATAAAGATAATTAGCTGAAAATTGATATCTAGACTAACTTCTGACTGTAGAACAGGAATATAACATGACTTTTGGTATACTGGACCCCGTTACGAAAATATTGGTTCGTAAAGACCCTAACTTATTTGGTTGCGTAATTTTTTCTTCCATTTTTAGACCCCATTAAAATACCCAAATCAGTTATTAAATGGGTCTTATGCACCAAATTATTAATATATAGTTGGAAATGTTTCACCACAAAAAATTCCGGATCTTTAACTTATCATTTTAGGGGGTAGTCGTAGGTCAAAAGGTCATTCGGGACAAAAAATGCACAAAAATGCCTCGTTTTCATGGTGACCTTTGACCCTGTGGGCAAGTACGCTTGTTGTTAAAACTTGCACCATTAATTAATTTACATATGAT